GGGGGCGGGGAGCCAGGACTCCTGGGTTCTCTCCCTGGCTCGAGGAGGGGAGTGGGGGCTGGTGGTTAGAGCAGGGGGGCGGGGAGCCAGGACTCCTGGGTTCTCTCCCTGGCTCTGGGATGGGAGTGGGGGCTGGTGGTTAGAGCAGGGGGGCTGGGAGCCAGGACTCCTGGGTTCTCTCCTTGGCTTTTGGAGGATAGTAGGGTTTAGTGGTTGGGGGCTGAGAACCAGGACTCTTGGGTTCTTTTCCCAGCTATGCCCCCACTCATTGTCTGACCCTTTGTTTCTGGCTCTCATACCCAGTCTCTCTCCTTTGGGCCATTTCTGTGCTCTCTCGGGTGTTCATATTTATGCCACCTTAGCATCCTTGTGAGCACTCTGATGTTTGGTTGCAGGTGCTGTTGTCCTGGAGATGCCTGGGTGTCATCTCTAGAGCTGGGGGGACCTGACTGCAGGGGCCCATGCACTGGGCCCTCAGGATCTGTAGGAGCATTGGGCGGGTGGGACGGGAGAGCAGGCCTTTCCAAGCCATGGCTGCGCAGAGCAGCACCCTCCCTGCGCAGAATGGCCACGATGCCGTCACAGCCGGGATCATCATCATCGGAGATGAGATCCTGAAGGTACGATACTGGCGCTGCACTGTGCACTCCCCAGCTGCCCTGTCCGCTGCGCCATGTCCGTGTTTGGGATCAGGCTCCAGATTGACAGAGACTGGGACAACAATTTCTCAGGCTGGCCGTGAACTTTATCTTCCCCCACGCTTGGCCAGATTGCATCACCCGTGCTCACCTTGGTAGCTCCTCACGCTGCGGATCGACGCGGGCCTACTCAACAGGATGGAGGGGCCCCCATTTAGCCGTAAGCTAGTGGAACTCACCCTAGAGTCCCAGTCGAGTTTTATTGAGGGGCCTAGCTAGGACATCCCCATTGTGGGGAGGTCGAAGTGCACAGGCTGGTAAATGTTCAATGACAGCACCTTCCCCCTGAGGGTCTGAAAAGTCTTGGGCATTAACCACTAGTCTCCTCTCCCTCCCAGAAACAGGGATGGAACCCAGGAGTCCAGGCTCCCAGTCCCCCTGCTCTAACCACTAGTCCCCACTCCTTCCCAGAGACAGGGATGGAACCCAAAAGTCCTGGCTCCCTGCCCGCCCGCTCCCCTCCCCCCCGCAGGCATCTCCTAGTTCTGCAGCATGTGGCCAGTGGTGATGCACCGCGCCTTTGCTGGCTGGGTTATCTCACAATATTTTTGCCTCCAGGGACTCACCCAGGACACAAACTCCTTCTTCATGTGCCGGAAGCTGCGGTCGCTGGGAGTGAAAGTTGCCAGAATCTCCGTGGTCCCCGATGACGTCGATACTATCGCCACGGAGATCTCTTCCTTCGCAGCCAAGTTCACCTATGTGCTGACATCAG